GTAACAATGGCAGATGTCGAGGAGTATGGTAAACACCAAACTCCAAATGAGTTACACTTGTAAAAAAAGTAAAAATACGTCCATATACATCTGTAGCTAAAGCTTCCAACGTTGTAGTCTGAGCCTCATCAGTCACAGTAACGACTAGATGAGAAATTTGTTTCTTTAAAATATGACTAAATGGTAAATCATCTGCATATAGACAAAATAAAATCATACAGAAAAATAAAACATAAACAAATATACCATTAAAATAGTATAATGCGCCTTTTAGTCCAACGTTAACAAGATTGAGTTTGTATAGATTGGAATATTCACTAGTGCGAAAAATGCATTCTATAGATTACGGTTCGAGTGTGAGACATTTTACATTGTGATGAATTCGAGGCAGGATTTCCAGACAAAATCGATTCAATTTTAGATCAGACAATGAATCAGTTTCACCATTTAATGATGTCGTTACTGAATCGATCGATTGAGTATAGATAGTATCACATAATACATTATTGAATCTTTCATTGACACCAAAAAGTGAATAAAAGGCATCGCCACTTTTCAATTTGGCAAAGATAATTAGCAAAATCTCATTGGGTAGATCAAGAATATTAATAGCTGAATAATTCATGTTTGACTCTAATCGTCGTTTGCTGTCAATAGTTATATATTCATTCCATGCATTATGACCGCTGCTGTCTGTGAAGACAATGCTGAATAATTCTATTGTAAACATAGTCAAGTTCGATCATAGATAAAAGATGTCTTAAATATAACGGGTAGGTCATCAGTCCTGACTCAATTTGTAAAATAAATTTTTCTTAATTATGAAAATTTGTTCTTTTGTTTTTAAAATAATAGTTACTTTTGCTTGAGGTATGTCAGAGAATATAACCATTTGTGTCGTTTCATTGCTGCTGGGTGTGGGTGGGTGTGGGGTGTGAGGTGTGGGTGTCAAAGCTCTATACAATTACAATCATATCCATACCCACACCCAGACCCAGACCCACACCCACACACCCACACCCACACCCTTCTGCGTTGCAAAGATAGTTCAAATTCAAATCTCTAAAGGCATACAAAGTTTCAGGGAAGATAGAGCAAACTAAAATTATATCACTTCTCTTCTTTTTCTTATGTATTAGAATTAGCAATGAAGCAAATATAAGTTTTAGATAATATTTTATGGATCCAAAATGTTTCTTTAAACAACAACAAAAAAGGAGAAATTATATTGATAGCAGTCGGTTACAGTAACATGTGTGTTCTGACATTCGTGATTATTTGATAAAAACTTATTTAAAAAAGCCCTTGAAGATGAGAAATATCTCCCTTTATGTCAGTCAAAAAGTGGTACAGGAACAGGGACAGCTTTTATATTCTTGTACCATTCCATGACTGATTTCGTCACATTCCAAAAGCCACTATTGTCCAGTACAATGTTTGTTATTGGACTAAAATATGCGTAACCACCATGTGGATTCTTATGATGTTTTTCATGAGTTTCAGGTGTCATCATTAAATGCAGCTGTTGTGCCAACTTTACGACTCTCGGTGCTTTTTCATCATGATGAGCATAGTAGTCCGGCGCGCCTGAACCGGAAACACTGTTGAGCATAACAGAAAGTGGTATGACAAATCCCATAGCAATTGGCAGGTGAATATAATAACAAACGACTGGTGAAACAAATGCCAAGAGTTTTGATGATGTCACGTGGAAATAGATGGTCATAATATTATCTAGTGTAACTTTTGTTTTATAGTCACACATTGTTGATGATAGTTCCAGTGAATTGACTTTTTCTGAGAGTCCGTTAGGTGTAAAATCCTTTGGATTCGGAGAACATTGAGGGCTACACGGGGTACAGGGATGACATCCTGGAGCACACAGTTCATTTTTGCCTGGAGTGCATTCAGGTTTGCATGGCGTGCACACATGACAACCGGGAGCACATAAGTCACGGTTTTTAGCTGGTGAACAATCGGGACTGCAAGGAGTACACGGATGACAGCCTGGCGCACACCGTTCAGGTTTAGTTGGCGAACAGCTAGGTTCACATGGCATGCATGGATGACAGCCTGGAGCACAGATTTCTCTTGTATTTCCATCACCTCTATCGTTTTCGCTGTATTTTGCTACCAATTGCTCATATTTGAACCCATATTTGGCAATGATTAGATGATGTTTGTAGCCATTGTCATCCGGTTTGAAATTATCAATTTCAAAATGTGCCACAGCAATTTGTACGTCAGTTAAGAAGTAACCAACGATGGACCATAACAAGATACTTTTCAGTCCCATCAAAATTCCTTCAACATAGCAAATTTCAATGCTCATAGCTAGCGAGATACCGATCCATAACCAAATCGTTGAGTAATCGGATTTTTTTAAAGACATATTGACGTATTCTAAGTAATGTAGGTAAGTTAATAACAAATAATTAAATTTGAAAAAACAGATAAATGTTTCACAGCAAAATTTAGAGTGATATATATATACCCCACAGAAAATTTGTCAGTTAGCCTTGTTCTCCAACGGAAAAAGGAAAGTGATGTTATTCTACTTGCTTTCTGTTTTCTATATCCTTCTAGAAGAAAGAAACAACAGAGGAAATTGCCAAGTTGATTTAAACGATGATGAGATATTTAAGTGAATCATTTAGAACAAATGACACACTTCCTATTTTTCTTCCATGAGAGAAAAACCAACTGTATAAGTTATCTATAGATGCATGCGCAATAAGCAAGAAAAAAAGAGGAAGAACGTGAGAAAAATAATGGACATCACAACTCAGTGACATTTTAAGTTTTTGACATGATACAGCTTGTTATATTTTTGCAATAGATCATCCACAAGATTTTCTCATTCTATTTAACGGATATGGGTTATTTTTTGAATATTACCGTTTTTGCGATAGGGAATCGCAATGGATATAGAAAAGTCTGAATACTTTGGCTATTCTCGCTTCTCTAGCTCACAAGAAAGTGTTTCTGACCTGTAAGTCGAGAGATTTATCTGATTTCGAGCAAAAAATCTTTAGTTCCATGTACCACAAACTTTTTTTTTATGAGTCAAAGAAAGAGAATATCTGAAATGCTCACATCATTCTATATCCATTTCGAAGTACATTGTCTGGCAGAAAACGCACAACCTTTTTAGTCATTAGTGTAATATAAAGCATGTAAATTTGAGTTTCTCTATCTCTCACGGCTAGAAATGTTTGTCGATATACCGAGCCGCCGCTGTCGATTGAGAAAAAACTTGCTAGAAAACGCCCTTGCGTGTGGGTGTGAGCGTGGGTGTGGATGTGGGTGCATATCTAATCTTTAACACACCAATACCCACACCCACACCCACACCCACACTTACACACTCACACCCAAACAAGTGATGTTTCCTTTTTGCACTTATTCTGTGCCTTACATGGAAACGTTTTCAACTGTTTAATCCCTTTTGAGGTCGGACTTTGTATAAAAGATAAACCCTAGTGAGGTATGAAAAATCCCAAAAGATTAAATCCTCTTAGGTATTCTGTCCAAAGTTATAGACATTTTACTGAAATATTAACCTGTGGCATGGTATATACCAATAAATCGAATGACGTTATTTCGATCTGAGATTTTGCTCACAGGTAGGTCTATTTATGAGTGGAATACTCTGAAAGTTTCGACTGAAAAGAGTGTTTCCTCCCCGAGATATTTAAGTCCCAAAAAACAGAAAATCCTAGCATCTTTTGTAACTAGTATATGAGTCATTTTTGGGACTTAAATATTCTGGCAAGGAAACATTCTTTTCAGTCGAAACTTTCAGAGTATTCCACTCATAAATAGACCTGCCTGTGGGCAAAATCTCAGGTCAAAATAACGTCATTCGATTTATTGGTATATACCATGCCATAGGCTAATATTTCAGTAGAATGCCTATAACTTTGAACAGAATGCCTAAGAGGATTTAATCTTTTGGGATTTTTCATACCTCACTGGGGTTTATCTTTTGTACAAAGTCCGAACTCAAAAGAAATTGGACAGTTGAAAACGTTTCCTCATTAGTTCAATGCCAAATATGTCGAGCCTAATGAAATCTATTCATCGACCAAATTATAATACTGTTTCAATCATGAAAGACATCAACAATATCGAAGGTGTACATGTGGGTCTCTGTTGACCCCCGTCCACATATTTACACTTGGATTCCATATCCACATGCCCACAAAGGTGGTGAAAAGTTTTGTAAAAAAAATGCATTTAAATGACTTTAAATTATAACCGAATGGTTTCTTGTATTGTGTTGGATTGATCAGTGTTACTATTTTTCAAAGTCTTTGAAGGCTGAAAATCCATCCAAACATGTTCCATATCTAGAAACTAAAATAAACTTTTCAACTTTCGTGAGCACTATATTTGCCTGTGAATCTGTTTCGAAATAAATTTTGATCGATCATTAGTGATATCTTTTCGGTCCAGGAAAAAAAAAAGTTGTGTTATAATCAAATCGAATAAGATAAAAAAACATCGATTACATACATTCTCACTTCAAGTCGACTTTAATGAAACATTAGTCAAATAATGATTTACTGTGTCTCCACATGAAATCGGGCGTGATGATTCATATCCAGCTGTAGTCAAAAAAACTTGGACAACTTGTGATGCCAGTATTTTCCTATATATTGTGTTGGCCAAAAAGTTCTGCAACACTTGCGAAAAAAGTTGATTTTTATGCGCAAATTTATTTAAAAACAATAACAACTACTCTTCAAAATAAAGGCCATCATTTTCAACAATTTTTTGCCACCGATCTGCAAGCATCCGGATTTGATTGAAGTACCATTCTGCCAGCTTCGAATCGAAGAACTCCTGGCAAGCTTCCTCAACTTGATCAAATGACTCGAATCGGCGACCACGCAAAAAGTGCCTCATTGATCGAAAGAGACCGTAATCGGATGGCGCAGCGTCAGGACTGTAGGGTGGATGCGGCAAGACCTCCACTTCCTCCAGTTCGTCAAATTTCTCCTTTGTTTTGTTGGCGGTGTGGGGCTTAGCGTTGTCTTGCTGGAACAAAGCGCATTTGCGACGAACGAGGGTCGGGTACTTCTCCTTCAGCTTGTCATAGACACGGTCCAGTTGTTGGCAGTAGAGTTCGGCGTTCACAGCACGGCCATCCGGAACCAGTTCAAAGTGAAGCACGCCCTCAAAGTTCCACCAGACGCAAATCATCACCTTCTTTGCGAAAGAATCTTGATGCGGAACTGATGGCGGATCTTGACCTCGCGGAACCCACCACTTCTGCCAGTTGTGATTGATCAAGTAGACCCATTTTTCGTCCGAAGTCACAATACGCTTCCAAAACCGATCATCCAATGGATTTTCCAACAATTAACGGCAGACTTCAACACGACGCTTGGCTTGCGCTTCGGTCAACTCGTGTGGATCCTGGCGAGGCTTCTTGTGCACAAAATCCATTTGATGCACGTGATTGAGTACAGTCTGATGGGACGAGACTCCAAGAACCGACGCCAATTCACGGCTGTTCGATGAAGGCTCATCTTCCAAGGCTGCCCGCAGATCTTCGTTGTCCAACGTTGATGGCCGGCCGGAACGTGGTTGATCTTCGACACTAAGGTCACCGGAATCGAATCGTTTGTACCATCGGGAAACAGTTGTGTAGTGGACAGTTCCTTCGCCTTCAGCATCACAAATCTCTTTCGCAGCATCTCTTGTCGAAAGTTGTCGCTTCCAACAATAGCGTATCAAGACTCGAAGCTCGATTTTGTCCAAGGTCTTCTGAAACTTTGAGGATAAGTGAACACTGAGTGACTGACTGGGGAAATGATAATGATAGATAGGAAACACCGGTATATATAGTATGAACATTGCGTAAGAACATTACACAAGAACACGTCATATGTCCGAGAAAAGTGCATAGAAAGTTCTAGAAGGTACATGCAAATACTGAACAATGGATAGATAAAGATGGTCACATGGGCAGACACGTGACCGCTTAGCCACTATATCACAAAAATCAACTTTTTCGCAAGTGTTGCAGAACTTTTTGGCCAACTCAGTATCTTTCTTAATATGGAAATACCATCGATATCAACGATAATAACAACTAGAAAGGTTTGAAAACATTCGTTTCTAACACTGTTCGGCGTGCTTTTTTTGTTCTACTGATTTAGCTTTTATTTGATTGTCATGAATAGTTTTCAATTGATTTGTTTAGCTCGAAGATTGAGTCTTCTCTTAGGTATAGGTTAAAAGCCAGTTGACACACTCACTTCGGTGTGCTTGTCGGTTGTCTTTGTCTACATAAATATTTACCGTCTTCAGACCATGATGAACACAACTGACATTCATCTGTGGCATTCCAGCAATCAGCAATGCCATCACAAGCTTGTGTCAGTGGCAAACGTGTCAATTGAGTGGTATTCACTGACAAGCACGGATGTTCGTCGAATTTGCAAGGCGAATAAGAGCAACGTGCTTCGACCTGCCCGTTCGGACAATTTCAAATAAAACCGCAGCGTGTGTATTGATTATTACACAGTAACTCGTATCAATTGAACTCGTCTGTATCCTGTGTGTCCGAAAACTCGACATATCCGTCGCAAATCGTTGAAAAAATGCGGCACTTATTTTCTCACATTCATAGGTTTGTTTGAAGGGGAAAGTGAATTTGTCCGTGCAAACAATGGGTGTGGGTTCAATGAATACCAGCATCTATACCAACATCCACATCCACACCCACACTCACACGCACACCCCACATCAACATCCCACACCGCACGTCCACATCCATACCCACAGCCACAGCCGCACTCCACCAACACTCGCTGTACACATACACCTAGAGATATTAGCCGATAAACTTTTCGGCGGCGCCAGATAAGCCACGCCCAGATTAGAACTTTCGACGGCGGCGGTTGGAAAATTTGTTATGATACATGGGCCAACCTTTTGATTACTAGTACCCTTGAGCAGTATAAACAACAAGAAACTTTTTATGCTGTGAAAGTTTTTATGTAATATCAAAGATGCTTTTAAAGATTGGGTTTCGCATTTATAAAGAAGAAGTAAAAGATGTTTCTGAGTAAAGAAGGCTCATACAAAACTGGATCGGCGGCGACAGCGAAAAAATTTCCGCCAAAGTTTCGTTTTCGGTGGCTAACATCTCTATATATATCTATATACTTGTGGTTGAGATTGAGCGACGTAGAATTCATATACATCAGAAGCATAGCGATAATAATTCATCTTAACAATGCATAAAAACTAAAGATGATATTCTCATGTGATTACCGATGATAAAAAACTGTTTTTGAAGTTCATTGTTCAATTAAAATAACGAGTGGACCAGAATAAATGGTGGTCTCAGTATTTTGTCAATTAGATGGGCATCGTAGAAGTAAAAGTAAAAATTTATTGTAATAGTACTGCAAACATACAACATCAATAACTGTCAAGCAAAAAATACAGTTTTCTTGTATTTATGTGTTCTCATGCTGAGCAATATGGACAAACTTGAACAAATAAAACTATCCATTTTGTAGACCTTCAAAAGTTCAATCTTAGTAGTATGTTGAAGAATTTTCACAACAAAACCTTATTGCATAAAATAAACGTTACTTTTTTTTTGAGATTTCAAACAACGTGCTTTTTTGCCATAGTTTTTTATGTTCTTGGAAAATCCATGAAACTCAGTCAAAAATTCCTTTTTTTACTTAAATTATTTTTTTTAAAGCTACGGAGTTATACTATCGCATTCTATCGTAATTCTGAATAAATGCCATTCCCTGTCAACTATGTTCAATCAGAAAGCCCAAGTATGCCAGATTCAGTCCAGATGTCAAAAACGTAGATCCTCTACCAATATTTTTAGTTGTAATGTTCTTTTCTTATGTTTTCTCTTGAATTCCATCCGATAGAGCGCACATGATTGTATCACAAATGATACTTTGAAGGTTATGAACCGTATGAGGGGATGGTGGTGAGGGGAGTGAGATTAAAGGTGTTTCTTCACCCTCACCCCACATCCTCAAGGTAATATTCAGGTGATATTAATCATAGAAACAATTCGATCTTCATGATGAAACCTAACTCCGAAACGATCATCGACATTTGCCTAATTATCTGTCTTTTATATTGTGTTATTTTCACGGACGATCTCGATAGAAAAATATGTGCTTTAGGGTAATGTGTGCATAGATAGTTATGGTGTCATGTTGAGGGTGTCGATGTAGGTGTCTCTATGTCCACACCCAGACTTTCAGAGTCTCATCTCGAGTAGAATTACAATGTTTGTCAACAAGCTCACACCGTTTTCTTCTGTTTCAACCGTTCATCATCTGATAAACTGAAATTCCATCTCACAAGTGGTTCTGGTTTTGCAATTTTGCAACGTCACGCAATTTCTAGGAAACTCTTTGTTAAATAAGAAAAATATGCCGAGCTCTGGAATTTTTTAGTGTTACTACGAAGATATCGATAGCGATGAAGCCAGAATTATTCTCATCTATCCATCATCTTAATCAATGCATTTGCTTTGACAATCAGCACTAATAAGTTTGATATCAGCTACTTTTCATAGAGAACTCATATTGAGGTGAGAGAGGTACATGATTTTCTCTTTATTTCAATTGCTGTCGCAATTCATCTCGAGATAACAGTTTGTTAATCGATTTTTTGAAGTCATTGACTGATGTCTTGCTTATCTGAGAGAAAAGAAAAATGTTTCCAGTATCGTTTCTCTCTAGAGATTTCACCCGAACATAACATTGAATCATTTCGTGATTTGATTGTATATTGCTCAAGTTCTATATTCAGGCGAATGTACATTTCTTATTCAAATTGCAACGAAAGAAGGAAAACTTAAGAGGACCCCTCCCCCCTTTCTGGGGTTTCTCGAGAACGGCTTAGTGAAAAGTTATAAAATTTTCAGGCCAGATAGATCTCGATGAGTAGAGTAAAAGTTGTCATAGGCTCAAAATTCCTGGATGCTTCCTTCGGGAAGATATGAGGATCGCAAAGGCTAAAAATGGCTCGAAGTTCCCCACCCAATCCGTAAATCTCTATACTTCATTTTTTCGAGCTGAAATTTTTTCTGTGACAACTAGGATCAAATCGAAGTGCGTGTTTGTTTTTCTTTTAAAAATACCGTTCCTAGAACTCAGGAGAAGCAAAATACTCGAAGAACCCTCAAAAAACATGTTTTTTTTCAACAGTACTAATTTTTAAATGGCTGCCAAATTTCGTAGGAACAACGTTTTTAAGAAAAAAAAAAGACACGTCCCAATTTGATTAAAGTATTCATAAAACAGATTTGAGTCCGATCGGACATACCGTGTAAGAGAAAAGGGGGAAAACTTCAAATTTTCGTTCAAAAATCTGGTTTTGAGAAAAACTCAAAGGAAGTTGAATTTTTTCGATTTTTTCAGCGTATTTTGTAGTTTTTATCAAGTTTTTGATATACAGAGCGTGGGTTTTCGGTTCTCAAACTGTGCTCATTAGATAGAGAGCATTTAAATCTATGTACTGATCACAAAAAACGAAAAACGAAAAAACTGAAAATTTTGAGTCGAGAAAGGGGGGGTGTTCCCTTAAGTAAGATTTTAGAAAAAAAAAGAAATGATGATCTGTCATTGTTTTGCTCCTTGCACGCATCGATTCGATTTAGAAAATCATTTTCCGAGAAGAATAGGGCTTTGTTTTTCTTGAGACAGTGAACTTCGTCCGAATTTCTATATTTGAAAGAGAAATCATTCGAGCGTTCTTGTAAAGAGAAGAAGAAAAGAAATTCATAATGCATCTCATTTCTGTTACACGTCATCAAAAAAATAAATATTTACAGCAAGCTTTTGTTTTTACACTGGCACAATGAAGAACAACTGACATTTTTATCAACATGAATACACTGCACGAGTGAAACGTCTTACTCAACACTTGACACAATCTTTCATTGTAATACAATTTACAATTGAATGTTATTCTTTTTGAAACAATTATATGTTCAGAGCAAGGATATTATTATCATCGACGTCTGTGACAAAGACGAAAGTTGAATCGGGTGCGATCCTTTAGCATTTGGTGACAATAATGAATCAAATCATAACGTACCCTGGATGATGTGAAGATGAAATTGGCATCATAAGAGAATGTGTGCAGGAAAAATAATATGAACATTGAAAATTATCTATCCATTCTGATCGAATCGGCTAATCGTTTCGATCTTGAATTTTCAAAGTATTGTGACATCTTCAAATAAAAAAATAGTAGAATCATTCTCAAAAAATCGTTCAAATTATCTAACTTGAATCTAAACTTGTGTAGAACATATTATATTTCATGTAAGCTGCCGCGCACCTCGACAAATAACAATTCCCATGTTCAAGACTAATGGAGAATATGCAATACCTCGAATGTAATTAACCTAGCAATAACTTTATTTTTCATAGAAAACGATCTACATATTGAAAGCGCGTTTGCAAGCGCACAATAATCAGATGCCGTTAATTTTCTTGAACGAAGAAATGTGCTAATGGAATGCTTTTTGCAAATTGAGATAGTTGGTTGAAACAAAAGAGCTCTCAAGTTGATCATCTCGTTACATATTCCAACGTTTGCAATTAGTCGAGAGAAAGAACAACGTATTTGGCAAAAAAAAAAAGAATATTCTCTTTTTGGTATCATGCTTGACAGATCACTATATTTCAACAATAAAATAAAAGCATAGCAGATGTAACTGAAAGTTTCATTTCTTTAAAATGGATTTCAGTGCGCGTCTTCATACGTGGTGCAATCGACTTAAAGAAAACCTTGTTGAATTCAATCTATTTTCTACATTTCCTCCAGTCATTGAACAACATGACATTGATTCGGAACGAATCTCGACTCGTGTCTACATATTTCTCCTTGTCGTCCTGGTTGTTATACTTGCTAGTTACACAGCTGAAGTGAAAGTAACAAGAAGTGGTTCCATAAAATATCCTACCTATGATCAATATTTGAAATTATACAAGACATATCCGCATACTCTCTCTTGTCCGTGCAAAACAATATCGATTCCTTACGATAAATTTATTCACATTGCAGCATCGCATCATCAAGTATGTGATAGTGTATATATAACAAACATTTGGCACTATTATTTTCAACTGGCGTCTTCACTTATTGACCGAACCTGGCTCTTTGATCCAACGTTCTATCCGATTCCTGGCAGATATATTTTCCGTGTCAGCGGAGATCGCTTTTTTCAAGCGTTAGGCTCCTTCTGTCATCTGACGAATACAACAGTTACCGATGGGATTGCTGATTTCGCAACTAATCGCCTCGTGTCGGGTATTGTCTTGTCACCAGAAATTTTCCAAATAAGTACTAATACAATCATTGATTTTTTCATTTCGAGCCTGACGCGAACATTCGTTCGATCACGTAAAATCATTCGAGATACGACTTTTTACAATGGACTTATGTCAGGATTATTCACCAATTATCGTTTTCTGGTTGGACCACTAGACGGTCCACCAGGTAATCGATATTATAGTGTTAATGCATTAAATGACATTACAATCAACAATCAATCAGTTTGTTTTTGTTCTACGACACCTCGCTGCACGATACCGGCTTATGTTAATAACGATATGTTGCATCGCGTACCTGGTATATTTTTCGGTTGTTACATGGTCGAAGCTCTTTCTCAATCAAGTCTCAGTTGTTTCTATGATCAATTGTGCGTTAACAATCTTATTCAGGTGCTCGTTCCGAATATTACTAGCAACATACCAGCACTGAATTCGACAGTTCCAAGTCGCTATCAAATAAATTCCACACTTGATGAGATTATAAATCAAGTCATGGTCGAACAATGGTCAAATTCAACATCGCATGAAGCTTATTATGATCAATGTAATCCTGCAGTGTGCACTTATTCATATGTTGGTAAAAATGGATTAATTACAATAATAACAACTATCATTGAAGTAATCGGAGGTTTATCAGTCATTTTGAAATTGATTGTGCCTAAAGTTATCAAACTGATTCGGTCGCCTCGTCAGAATAATACAGGTATGATGCATCCATACATGTAGAAATCCAAGAATCGATTCAACTTTTCATTGAGAGTAGGGATGTCGGCTTAGCATCAGCATTGCATTAAATAATATTAATTTTAATGCTTTTGTATTAGAATTAAAAAATTAACTTAATGCTTTGGTATTAGTGTTCATTTTAAGTTCAGAAAATGCTAATACATATCACTATTATACAACTCGTTCATAAAACTATCATTGTAGTTTTACCAGCGGCTAGTCTATAGTTGGATTTGCTTTGTAGCATTTCTATACAAAGGGAATGCCACGTATCCATTAAGACAGGGGCGGCGGAAAGTCTCAAAATTAGGTGGGGCTCAGTTCCAGCGTTGTCGATTGTTTTAGGGAGTGGGGGAATGGTGACTAAAAATTTCGCAGACACGTCCAGGTAAAAATCTCATTTTTTTGACCTCCCTTCTAAACGTCCAGTACAAACAAAAAGAATTTCTTTTTCTTGGAATAATGACCAAGGGAGATGGGGTAGCTTTCGATGTTCCCGATATCCTGACCAAGGGGGGCAGGAGAGTAGCTTCGCGAAGATTCCCCTACCAGCACTGACACCCATCTTACCAGCTTTATGAATAGCCTCTGACAATTTGTTTTTCTGTAGAAATCCGCAGACAAATAGCAGAAAATTTTGGCAGACTGACTTAAAATTTTGGGAGGCCATAACCTCCCCACTGAGGGACTTCATTCAAGCTTGTTCTGTATTCTTTTTCATCATAATTAACATTCAAACCGTGACAGATATTAATTTTCATAGTAAAGTAAGATTTTATTTATAGAAATATTTGAAGCCATATAGAAACGATTAAACTTCAAATTCAAAATTTCAGTGAGGCTCGGCCTACAGGAGCTAAAATCAGGTGAGGCTTAAGCCTTACTGGGCCTACAGGCTCCGCTACCCCTGCATTAAGATGACATACATGTACATCTACAGTTCTTCAGAAAGCATAAATAATTTTATTAGATATCGCTATTGTAAAAGGAAACCTCAATATAAAAGCAGGGGTGGGAAGTTACTGTTATCGTTCTCGGGTAACTGGTAAAGGGACGACGGACATATAATAGGGAATAACTTTGGGTCCTGAAGGGCTACTATTGAGGGGTATCCTTGTGTGCTTTAAGGCTACTAAAGGAACTACTCTAGGGCTTCCAAGGGCTACCATTGGGGGTACCTTTAGATCCTCAAGGACTACTATAGAGGAGTACCCTTGGATTCTCAAGGCCTACTGTAGGGGATTCTCTGTGGCCCTCAAGGGTAATATAGGAGGATACCCTAGGATCCTCAAGTCCTGCTATTGGGGAGCACACTTGGGCCCCATGTCTTACTATTGGAAGGCACTGTGGGAACTCAAATTTTCATCTTTGCTGTACTGGTGCCTTGGGAAATCCCCATGTGCAGGAATTCCTTGGGTCCAAAATACTCTTGCGCATCAATCTTCTTCCCTAAATTGGGACTGTTCCATTCCTTAACATGATGACCTGCTACTAAATTCGAACAGGAAGCTCTACTCAGGTCGAGCATTACGGTGACCAGAAGCCGCAGGATTTCGGGGAAACTTTCAGGATGCTCCTCCACTCTTACTATTAGGACAACACATAGTCATATTCAGGCTGATCCTACGGTTATCGAGAAGGCTCTATCAATTAATGGGTATATGTATGGCTACCCGCAAATCGTATCACAGAGAAATAGAAGCTTGCCAGTTAATTGATCGAAAAAACAGACCAATCAAATTTCAGGAGGGCTTTTCTTGCTTATTGTAAGGGCAGGCGATGGGCATCTTCGGACGAAACATAGAATTATCGAGAACATTCTATCCATTGATGGGTATATGTACGGGCCCTCGCCCATCCCAACATTCAGAAGTACAAACTTGCCATTTAATTGGCCGATAAAATAGAACAATCAGATTTCGGAAGGGATTTTTCTCTCTTATGGTAAGGGCAAGCGATGAGCATCTTCGAACGAAACACAGAGTTATTGCGGATGCTCTATCAATTGATAGGCATATGTATGGGTCCCCAAGAATCCTGTCATAGAGTAATAGAAGCTCGCCGTTTAATGAGTGGAAAAAATGGACCAATCAGATTTCAGGAGGCTTTTCTCGCTTATTGTAAGGGCAAGGGATGAGTATGTTGGGGCGAATCATAGGGTTATCGAGGATGCTCTATCGATTGATGAGTATATGTGTGAGTTCCTTCCCAGTACAACACGGCGAAATAGAGTCTATGCATTTGCCATTGAAGACCCAAGGGTACCTCCCTACAGTAGGTCTTGAGGACCTAAGAGCACTCCCCTATAGTAGGTCCGGGGATCCTAAGAATGCTTCCCCGTAGTAGCCCTTGAGGACCCAAGGGTATCCCCAGTAGCAGGCTTTGAGAACCCAAGGGTATCCCACTATAGCACAGCTTTAAGTCCCAAAGGTACCCCCTATTATAGTCCTTGAGGACCCAAGGATACTTCCCAATGGTAGCCCTTAAGGGCCCTAGGATACCCCCTATAGTAGCCATAGAGCACTCAAGGATATTCCCCAATAGTAGCCCTTGAGGATCCAAGAGTACCCCCAATAGTAGCTCTTCAGGACCCAAAGGTATCCCCTATTATATGCCCGTCATCCATCTACCAGTTATCCGGGAGCGCTAACGGTCCCTTGCCACTCCTACTTTTATATTGAGTTTTCCTTTTACAATAGCGATATCTAATAAAATTATTTATGCTTTCTGAAGAACTATAGATGTACATGTATGTCATCTTAATGCATATGTGGTATTCCTTTGTATATAAATGTTGCAAAGCAAATCCAACTATAGACAAGCCGCTGGTAAAACTACAATGACAGTTTTATGAACGAGCTGTATAATAGTGATAGGTATTAGCATTTTCTGAACTTAAAATTAACACTAATACCAAAGCATTAAATTATTTTTTTAACAGTAACGCCAAAGCATTAAATGAATTATTTAATTTTAATAGCAAAGTATTAGAATTTTCGTAGCACTAATACTAAGCCGACACCCCTAATTGAGGGTAAGCGGGAGTTAGAGTTATGGTACGGATGTAGCTGGATTCCGTACTGTTGCACGCCGCATACTCGGAAGATGGAAAAGTCGAATAGTCGAATGGACTTTTCGAATTGTACACTACTCAGATGTTTACTCGATGGCATTTCTTGTTTTTTTTTTCTCAGGTCAACCTCTGAGCATTCGCATTCGCATTCGCAATAGTTGGAGTATGTTGAAAAACTCGATAAGAGACGCGAACGTGTTTCGCTCGTTTTCGTCGGAGACCGTAAACGACGAGCATCAAAGACAGACACAGATCATCTCAACACGTGTCTACTTTGTTCTCTTCGTTATTGCACTTGGTGTACTTGTAATCTACACTTCACAAGTACCCGTCACAAGATTCATTACTATTGAATCGCCATCTTATAAAAACTATTTGTACTTGTATCGACTATATCCTCAAACTGTCTCATGTCCCTGCACGACTATCTCCATGCGATACGATCAATTCGTTCAAATCTATGCCAGCTTTCACCATGTGTGCGAAAGTTATTTCACTTCTGAAACTTACCTTCACAATTTTGATGAATATCTAGCATTCAACTACGTGGGCGGTGTTCTGTCAGGCAGTTTTCATTTACAATTAATAAGATCATGGTGTCGCCTAGCTAATGAGAGCTTTGTCGACGATCGCAATGCATTCTATGCTACGGAATTCACTGTAAAAGAAGTTCTTTCAGTTAATGTCTTCGATAAACAAGTTCAGTCATTGCTAGAAGTTTTTATTGCATCAACGATTAGCACCTATGTTCATTCACTAGCTCTCATTCGAGAAACAGTACAAAACAACGCTCTTCAGAGTGGTATCATGACTAACTTTTATCCTAAAATAAGTGGCAATATTCCTAATATCAACATCGATATAGGCTTTCAAATATTCGGAAATGGAAGTTGCAACTGTGCAGAAACACCTACTTGCAGCGATCCGGTCCGGTATACTAATGCCAGCATATTTCCACTTGTCACACTTTTCACCGTACCAGGACTATTGGTTGGTTGCTATATGGACGAAGCTACACTTCAGTCAACTCTCGAATGTTATTATAATCAAAGCTGTTTGGACATGCTACACTCTTATGCTCTAACAAAACGGATATTGAATATCTCTGCATTTGACATAACAAGTATTCAGAGTCGATACAATACAACTACGCCAATTCGTACTCTCGTGAATGAGATGATGATTGAAAATTGGTCGAATACATCTTCTCATGCCACTTTCTATGAGAAATGTCGGCCGTCAATGTGTACTTATTCATATGTAGGCAAGAATGCTCTCATCATTGTCATCACTACTATCATCGGTTTGGTGGGTGGTTTAACCACTATCCTCAAGTTCATCGTTCCTCGAGTCATTCACATGTTACGGCGATGGCAACGACGTGCTCCACACCAGATCATTCCTGCAGACGGTATGTTCTCTGAGTGTAGAGTAGAGCCCGTCGGGTAGGACCTTGATCCGACCCGGACCCGCTCAGAGCCGAGTCCGGGTCTGCAAATTTTGCATTGACCGGGTCGGGGTCGGGTTCGGGTCTGAAAATTTTGCTTTGACCGGGTTCGGATTTGAAAACTTTGCTTTGACCGGGCTCGGGTCAGGTCCAGGTCTGAAAGAAACTTTGATCCATATCATTTATTTTGAATTTTTTTAAAGCTTTGATCGTTTTATACAAAGAAGAAATAATATATTTAGAAAAGAGATAAACAACAAAACCCTTCTTGACTATATTATCTAAACTGACTTGTCATTGTGTTTGGACTCAAAAGTTTAAACGACCGGATCCGGGTCCAAAAATCCTGGACCCGATGGGTTCTAGTGTAGAGTCATCGATCGTTCAATAATGTTTTCGCGTTTGTTTCTGCTTTCTGTCCAAAGACTGGTATAGGTGTCGATCATTTCAACACTCATATCCTGTAAAAAAAAAGTTTCAACTCAATGAGAAATGATGTGTATAGTGTTCGGTTTTAACTTTTATTGTTCGTGTATCTGATAGAAGAAGTCATCACACCGTAGATCTTTCTATTCTGATTTAAAAACGAAAGGATGTAATTCAATATGTTGCTCAAATTCGCATTTTTCACCTGACAAAGAGTCAATATGAGACCGATAGGTTCAGGCATAGTTCGGAATGAAAAACAATTTCGAGACTATGTAATTTCTATTTCTATTGATGTGAAGCTACCACGAACACCAATCAGAACGCAGATATGAAGAACCAATCTATTCGTTCCATCTTTTATCCAACGCAATCCAAAACTGTAAAACCGATAAATCCTTCTCCCAACACTGAAAATAGATAAGTTTCAAACAGATCCAACCGGAAAACCTTTCTACAACAAAAAAAATAATAAAAAATTGTTAATCATCAGTATTGTGGGGTGGTATTCCACAGATCTGTTTTTTTTTCAGTCTCAGAAGATTTACCGAAGAGATTTGTGATACCTCATTTGGTTCAGCTTGACAAGGGCTATCGATTCCGTTACTCGTTCTCTCACGGTAAACCTTCCTATAACAAAAGCTGTTAGCGCAATCCCTTGCGGAATGAAAAATGTGAAACACGATGTAGCTGCTGCTTCCAATGTTCTAAAAACTGTTGTTTTATATATATATTGGTGTACATCTCTTCATCATGGCTTACTTCACACTATAGAGGTTGAACAAGATAATACTACATATACGCTCCAATCATATGTTAGTTATGCATTATCTCTGATATTTCTTTGAAGTCTTCTATCACAGTCTATGATGGCTCCTGAAGCCCGTCTGTTAGAGTCTATGATAGGTTCAAAGCCCTGTCTGTCACGGTCTGTGATGGGTCTAGAGCCTGTCTGTCATGGTCTGTGATGGGTCCAAAGCCTGTCTGTCACGGTCTGTGATAGGTCCAAAGCCCTGTCTGTCACAGTCTGTGATGGGTCTAGAGCCCTGTCTGTCACGGTCTGTGATGGGTCCAAAGCCTGTCTGTCACGGTGTATGATGAGTCTAGAGCCTGTCTGTGATGGGTCCGAAGCCTGTCTGTCACGGTCTGTGATGGTCACGTGAGTATCTGTCACAGTCTGTGGCGAGAGGAGGGGGGATGCAAATCTCTGCCCCTAAACACTTCAACACTCCTTTCAGATCGTGTTTCACAAAAAAAATACTAAAAAATATTAATAATCGATAATTTTCTGTTCGTAGTACTTATAAAACGGGGTTTTCAGCCTATCAGAAGGTTTGCCGGGAGAAACCAAATACATCATCTGATTCAACTTGGGAATGGCGATCCATTCTACTTCTCATTCTCTCCCAGCAAACCTTCGTATAACAAAAAACACTAAAAAATCTTAACAATAAATAAATTTCTGTTGGTGGTACTCATGAAACGGGGTTTTTCGACTCTCGGAAGGTTTGCCAGAAGAAACATGATACATTACCAGATTCATCTTGAGAAGGGGTATCGATTTTACTTCTCATTCTGTTCCGGCAAAGCTATCCATAATAAAGAAATTATTAAAAAATACCATTAATCCATTATTTTTCGCTAGCTGTACTGAAAAAAAAGGGGGGGGGGTATCTTTTGTCTCAGAAGTTTTGCCTGGAGAAACACCATACACCATCTGGTTCAGCTTGAAAAGGGCTATCGATTGCGCCACGCATTCTCTCTCAACAAACCCTTTCCCATAATATGAAAGTTTATAGAAATTATTAAAAATTTAGTTTTCTGGTGGTGAAGATCGAAAATTGGGATTTCTTGAGTCTTAGAAGGTCTATCGGGAGGGAACGAGAATAAGCTCATTTTATGGGTTCCGATACCACAAAATGATTAATTTGTAATGATTTTTATGAATGTTTTTCGCATAGGATGGGCTGCTGGGAGAGAACGAGAAGTGGAATAGATAGCCGTTTTCAAGCTGAATGTGATGGTGTATCACGTTTCTCCCGGCAAACTTTCTGAGACTGAAGAAACCCCATTTTATGATTTCTCCCACCACAAGATTATTAATTTTTCATAAGTTTTATTAATTTTCATATTATGGGAAGGTTTGCCAGAAGAGAGAAGGAAAAATGGAATCGATAGCCCTTCTCAAGTTGAATCGAATGGTGTATCATGTTTCTCCCGGCAAACCTTCTGAGACTCAATAAATCCAGTTTAATGAGTACCACCACCAAGAAATTATTGATTTTTAATATGTTTTAATGGTTTTCTTTTTTCGGGAAGGTTTGCTGGGAGAGAAGGAGTAGTGGAATCGATTGCCCTTATCAAGCTAAATCGAATGGCGTATCACGTTTCTCCCGACAAATCTCCTGAGACTCAAGAAATTCAATTTAATGAGCACGACGCCCATCCACTGGTTAGTTTTTAATATTTTTTGTTATTTTTTTTGCGGAATCGTTTACTGAGATTTTGCCTGGATTAGCGGTGTGTGGGAACATTGAGAATTTTTAGTAGGCAGTGGGGTGATGTGCTGGAAAATTACTATTTCCGACTAGGTGCGCCCTTTGTCGAATTTTTTGATTGGTTCCAGTTGGAGAACCAATGAAATGATCACCACGATCGTGGTGGCGAAGAATCGTGTTGTGGTAGCTTCACATCAATGTAATTTCTCTCTACTCTATCCATATTCCCTCTGAGGTTGAAATAGTTTTGTATAAATGAAAGTATGTTCTCATCCAAACTACGTGTGATGGGCTCTCGATGCTTTCAACTAATCAGGAAAATAGCTCGACTGATTCCTGGTTCTTGAGTTCATATTTTGTCCATAAATAGGACTCGATGACACTGGGAAAAAAACAAAGCTGTTGGTGTTTATGGCTTATCGATCAAACTTTTGGGTTGTTTTACTGAATTTTCGACAGAAACGAATGCATCTTTTTCGAGATATTGAATTTATAATTAGACCCAACAATTGTGTCTATCCTGTGACGAGTAACTTTGTCTTGTAAATTCAATATCTTGAGGATGATGCATTCGTTTCGGTTGAAAGTGTCACAGGACTCTAATGGCAGCCTATCTGTAGGCAAAATCTCAGGTCAAAACATTGTAATTTGATTTTCATGAGAATATGAGACATATGCCAAAATCGACAGAAGAAATATTTGCTCTTGATAATGATGTTATGTTATCTTCCACAGATCGATCTCAAATTGAAAAGCTTCATCAGTTATGGTCTAAAGTACAAGAACTAATAACCAAATTCAACTTATTTTCATCACCATCACCACCAACTGGTGATGTTGAATTCGAGATCAAGACACAGATTATTTCAACACGTAGCTACCTTCTTCTCTTCAGTGTTTCGCTTTTTGTACTTGCCATTTACATTGGAGAAGTACATGTCACAACGACGATCACCATGCACTCTCCATCGTACGAACAGTATTCTTACCTATATCAACAGTATCCACGGTCTCTTTCATGTCCTTGCACGACTATCTCCACTCGCTACAATGAATTCATCGATGTTAAAGTCGCACGTTATCATCAAGTGTGTGAAAGTGTATATGTTACACCAATCTGGCCATTTGCTTTTGCCAATCTTGTGAGATTTCAAAGAATATATATCTTCGATTTTCGTGCAATCGGCTCTCCTTTCTTCAAAACATTGGCCGCATTTTGTACAGCAACTCGTCAAGCCATTGATGATGAACTTTTCGTATTTAATGCTCAGCATTTTGTTACTAGCGAAGTAATGCCAATTGAAGTTTTTGAAAAAGAAGCACAATCAACTGTTCAATCTTTTGCTGGGTCAACAACAAGATTGTTCATACGCTCAATCGGACTTTTACGCGAAACCATTCAGGCTAACAATCTTTTCTCGGGTTTGACTACAAATCTTCGTTTCGCACCATATTTTTTCAATAATCAAAGTATTTATATTCTTCCCACATATAATACTTATATGGACAATTTATCATCACCTTGCTATTGCCATGAAACACCAACATGTGTTAGTTCGACTCATATTTTCAATGAATATACTCAAGGTCCACCAGTAGCTCAATTCACGCTACCTGGTCTTTTCGTTGGTTGTTTTCTAGTTGAAGCTGTTCTACAATCAAATCTTGTCTGTTTCTACAATCAATCTTGTATCGATGAACTTCGTCGAAATTTGAATGCAACAATTCCGTTTGATACGCCAGCACTCGATACGAATATCGAAAGTCAATACAAACCGAGTTCAGCCATTGGTGATATTGTTGTAAAACTAATGGTTGAGCAATGGTCGAATACAACCTCGCATAAGGCTTACTATGCTCAATGCAAGCCTGCAATATGCACTTATTCATTTGTCGGTAAAAATAGTTGGTTCGTTGTAATGACAAAAATAATTGCACTTGTCAGTGGTCTCTCCACCATTCTGAAAATTGTCGTTCCTCGAGCAGTAAAAATGGTTCTATCCCATTTTAAGAATCGTGTCAGACCATTTGCTACCAACTGAAAATCGTTAATATGAACATTTTTTCCTTTCCGTGTCAGTGCTCTTGCTTTTGTGTATACTCAACGTGGTCACTGTATTAAAAATAAATCGTGCTTTGCCACACACAGAGACAGTCGGGTTCAGTCAGAGAGTGAGGGTGGGGAAGAATGCCGGGTGAGAGCGGGTGTAAGAATAGGGCTGAGTGGGGTGGGGGTGAAGGGAAGATGGGAGGGAACGGGTAAATTCCTTTCACTTCAGCCTTCCCATCATCGTCTCCGGTCCCATACACTCCACTCCACCCTCATCATACTCAGACCCCGTCCTCATATACACATCCCACCCTATCCGCAGGAAGTCCAAAGAGTGCGGGAGTGGATATGGTATGTTGTGTAGGTGTGGACGTAGATGTGGATGTGCGGGTGGGGGGAGGGGGTGCAGGTGTGGGTCTTTCTTCACCCTCATCCTACCGCTAGATAGTCCTTGAAAAGTTATATGGACTACCCCTAGGAGTCATTGCACGATAGATACGAACGTTCCCCATACAGCGCTGTTCAATGAAAATTTTAGATCTTTGTGAAATTTATTCCATCTTGCAGAACATGTTGTTTTAGGTATAGAGCTAAATTTACAGCTTTATTGGAGGGTCTGGGTGTGGGCTGTGGGTGTGAGCGTGCGTGGGTGCGGGTGTGTGAGCGTGGATATGTGGTGTGGTAGGAAAGAACACCAACACCCACACCCACCTTCCTTGTTAGTCAAATTCAAAAAATTAATCTTTCACATATTGATTATTTCAATATCGAAACAGATCAGTTGCAATTGTTACGCACACAAACAGGTCGCTTACGCTATTCGATTATGAAAAATTACGATTCGTCATTGATTCTTCTCTCACATGTTCATTCTCTGACTTTAAAAAAGTAAATGGACTTATCCAATTAATCTTGAAAATGTTGATGAAGTTTATCGAGTAGTACCCCATCTTGAGGGTGTGGGGTGTGGTTGTGGGTGTGGGTGTGGGTGCGGCTGTAGGTGTAGGTGTGGATGTGGGTGTGGGTGGGGTGTGTGGGCAAGGAGTGTGGATAAATGGAAGATCAACACCCACACCCACACCAACACTCACACTCACACCCACACCCACACCCAGACCCTCCAATAAAGCTGTAAATTTAGCTCTATACC